AATCTCAAGTCCAACAGATCTCTAACACAAAATGTCCAGAAAATATGGGACACTGTGAAAAGGCAGAATCTAAGAATAATAGGTATAGAAGAAGGTGAAGGAATACAGCTCAAAGGTACAGAAAACATATTCAACAGAATCCATAGAAGAAGACTTCCCCAACCTAGAGAAGGATATGCCTTTGAAAGTACAAGAAGCTAACAGAAAGCCAAATAGACTGGACCACAAAAAGAAGTCCCCTTGCCAAATAATAATCAAAACACCGAACTTACAGAATAAAAAGAAAATATTAAGAGCAGCAAAGGAAAAAGGTCAAGTAACATATAAAGGCAGACCTATCAGAATCACACCTGACTTCTCAATGGAAACTTTGAAAGCCAGAAGGTCCTGGATAGATGTCCTTTAAACACTAAGGGAACATGGATGCCAACCCAGACTACTGTACCCGGGAAAGCTTTCAATTACTATGCATGGAGAAAACAAGATATTCCAAGACAAAAACAGATTTAAACAACACATATCCACAAATCCAGCCCTACAGAAAGTCTTAGAGGGAAAACTCAAACCCAACGAAGATAACCACACTCACAAAAACATAGGTAATAGATAATTTAAACACTAAGGGAACATGGATGCCAACCCAGACTACTGTACCCGGGAAAGCTTTCAATTACTATGCATGGAGAAAACAAGATATTCCAAGACAAAAACAGATTTAAACAACACATATCCACAAATCCAGCCCTACAGAAAGTCTTAGAGGGAAAACTCAAACCCAACGAAGATAACCACACTCACAAAAACATAGGTAATAGATAATCCAACTTTACCAACCAGGAAAAGAAACAGGAGGGTAAAATCCACACACAATGACACCACCAACAATAAATCCAAAACAAACAAGAACCAACAATCAATGGACATTAATATCCCTCAATGTCGATGGTCTTAACCTGCCTATAAAAAGATACAGGATATCAGAATGGATATGAAGACAGAATCCATCCTTCTGCTGTATACAAGAAACACACGTCAATTTCACAGACAGGCATTACCTCAAAGTAAAGGGTTGGGAAAAGATTTTCCAATCAAATGGACCTAAGAAACAAGCTGGTGTAGCAATCCTAATATCTAACAAATTAGATTTTAAACTAAAATCAATAAAAAGAGATGAAGAGGGGCATTTCAAACTCATCACAGGAAAAGTCCATCAAGATGACGTCTCAATTCTAAACATCTATGCCCCAAATACAAAGGCACCCACTTTTGTAAAAGAAACATTACTAAAGCTCAAACCACACATGAAACCACAGACACTTATAATAGGAGACCTTCAACACCCCCATTTCACCACTAGACAGGATCACCAGACAGAAACTTAACAAAGAAACAAAGGATCTAACAGAAGTTATGACACAACTGGGATTAACAGACATCTATAGAACATTGCATCCAAACACAAAAGAATATACCTTCTTCTCAGCGCCATATGGAACCTTCTCTAAAATTGACCACATACTTTGCAACATAGCAAACCTCCACAGATACAAAAAAAATTGAAATAACCCCCTGTGTCTTATGGGAACACCACGCTTTAAGATTAGAATTCAAGAGCAACACAAATTGCAGAAAACCTACAAACTCATGGAAATTGAATAACACCCAGTTACACCAATCCTGGGTCAAGGAAGAAATAAAAGAATGAAATTAAAGACTTCCTAGAATTTAATGAGAATGTAGACACAACATACCCAAACTTATGCAACACTCTGAAAGCACTGCTAAGAGGAAAGTTCATAGCACTAAGTGCCCACATGAAGAAACTGGAGAATAGTCACACTAGAGAATTGACAGAACAACTGAAAGCTTTAGAACAAAAAGAAGCAAACTCACCACAGAGGAGTAGATGCCAGGAAATAATCAAACTGAGGGCTTAAATTAATAAAGTGGAAAGCAAGAAAACTTTACAAAGAATCAATGAAACAATGAGTCAGTTCTTGGAGATGATCAACAAGATAGACAAACCTCTAGTCAAACTAACCAAAAGGCAGAGACAGAGCAAGCTAATGAACAAAATCAGAAATAAAAGGGGAGACATAACAACAGACACTGAGGAAATCCAGAGAATCATCAGGTCATACTTTGAAAACCTGTACTCCACAAAATTCAAAAATCTAAAGGAAATGGACAATTTTCTGGATAGATAGCACTTACCAAAATTAAACCAAGATCAGATAAGCAGTTTAAATCTACCTATAACCCCTAATGAAATAGAAGTCGTCATCAAAAACCTCCCAACCAAAAAAAGCCCAGGGCCAGAAGGTTTCAGTTTCAAAAAAAATCCAGTAACCCTTCATGATGAAGATCTTAAAGAAAACAGGAATAACAGGAACATATCTAAATATGATAAAAAGCAATATATAGCAAACCAACAGCCAACATCAAACTAAATGGAGAGAAACTCAAAGTGATTCCTCTAAAATCAGGAACAAGACAAGGCTGTCCACTCTCTCCATACCTCTTCAATATTGTCCTTGAAGTCCTAGCTAGAGCAATAAGACAACAAAAGGAGATCAAGGGAATACAAATCGGAAAGGAAGAAGTCAAACTCTCACTATTTGCAGACGATATGATAGTCTACATTAGTGACCCGAAAAACTCTACCAGGGAACTCCTACAGCTGATAAACACCTTCAGCAAAGTAGCAGGATACAAGATTAACTCAAAAAAAAATTCATAGCCCTACTCTACACCGATGACACATTGGTGGAGAAAGAAATCAGAGAAACATCACCCTTTACAATTGCCACAAACAACATAAAACATCTTGGGGTAACACTAACCAAAAAAATGAAAGACCTTACAGCAAGAACTTTGAGTCTTTAAAGAAATTAAAGAATATACCAGAAAATGGAAAGATCTCCCACACTCTTGGATAGGTAGAATCAACATAGTAAAAATAGCAATCTTGCCAAAAGTAATCTACAGATTCAATGCAATCCCCACAGTTCTTCACACACCTTGAAAGAACAATACTCAACTTTATATGAAAAAAACAAAAAACCCAGGATATCCAAAACAACCCTGTACAATAAAGGAACCTCTGGAGGCATCACCATTCCTGACTTCAAGCTCTATTATAGAGCCATAGTCCTGAAAACAGCTTGGTATTGGCACAAAAATAGGCAGATAGACCAATAGAGTTGAATTGAAAATCCTGATATTAACCCCAACACCTATGAACACCTGATTTTCGACAAAGATGCTAAATCTAAACAATGGAAAAAAGATAGCATCTTCAACAAATGGTGCTGGCACAACTGGATTCGGACATGTAGAGGACTGCAGATAGATCCATATCTTTCACCATGCACAAAAACATTTTTGTTTCAGACATAGAACAAAGGATTACCAGCCTACAATCCTCTTCACCAAAGGAACTAGGAAACAAGAAGGACTCTAAGAGAAAAATGCATGGTCCCCGGAGAATGGGAAAGGCCAGGATCTCCTAAGCTAATTGGGAGCATGAGGGTAGGGTAGAGAGAGCTGGCAGAATGTGCGGAGGAGAAGAGGGGGGAGAGGAGGAAATGGAGGTTGAGTAGGGGGAAGAATAGAGGAGAGCAGGATGAGAGATATCATAACAGAGGGAGCCATTATAGGTCGGAGGAGAGATCTGGCACTAGGGAGATTTCCAGAGATCTATAAGTATGACACTAACTGACAATCTAGGCAATGGTGGAGAGGCTACCCTAAATGCTGTTCCCCTATAATGAGACTGATGACTATTTTATATGCCATCCTAGAGCCCTCATCCAGTGGCTGATGGAAGCAGAGGCAGACACCCATAGCTATACACTGAACTGAACTCTGGAACCCAGTTGCAAAGAGGGAGAAATGAAGATCAAGGGGGTCATGACCAGACTGGTGAATCCCACAGAAACAGCTGACCTGAACAAGGGGGAGCACATGAACCCCAGACTGTCATCTGGGAGGCCATCATGGGACTGATCCAGACTCCTGAAAGTGGATGTCAATGAGGAGGCCTAGGCACCTTATGGGGCCTCTGGTAGTGGATCAGTATTTTTCCCTGGTGTAAGAAGGGCTTTGAGCCGGGCGGTGGTGGTGTAGGCCTTTAATCCCAGCACTGGGGAGGCAGGGGGAGGCGGATCTATGTGAGTTCGAGACCAGCCTGGTCTACAAGAGCTAGTTCCAGGATGCCCTCCAAAGCTACCGAGAAACCCTGTCTCAAAAAACCAAGAAAAAAAAATAAAAGGCACTTTGAGAGCCCACCCCACATGAAGGGATGCTCTCTTGGCCTGGACACATGGGAGAGGGCCTAGGGCCAGCCCAGGATGATGTTGTGGAATTTGGGGAGTGCCTGTGGAGGGCCCTACCCTCCATGGGGAGTGGAGGGGGAAGGAGGACGAGGCTGGTAGGGGGCTGGGGAGAGGGGAAGAGGGAGAAGGGCTTGATGTGAAATTATAATTTTGTAAAAATTAAATAAAAAAATTTAAAAAGCAGGCAAGCAAATAAAACACCTGAAATTAAAAAAAAAACAAAAAGACAAGAAACATGAAATTTTTAAAATATAAGTTTAAAATGTAATGGATAAAAAGTATGCTAGAAAATAAACTTCTAGATGTCCTGTGCTGTTGAATCTAAAGGCACTATGGAAATTGACTACTATAATAACAAATTGAGTCTATTAAAGACTTACTTGGGCATTATAAGTCACAGTAAGTTACGTTTGTCCAAATAATTGTTGGCCAAATTTCAAATATCCTTTATTACTGAAAGCCTACTGCTAATACAATTTCTCTTTGGCTCTGTATTTTTACCCCATTTTCCCACAGCCTCAAAGTAACCACTAGTCCTTTTTGTTGTTTACCATATTGACAATTGTTTTAGGCTACTCACAATCTTGTTTCCACTTATTAACTTTACATATGTTAAAATTACACCCAGAACACTCTAAACCTTAAGAGTAAAAAAATGCAAACCTTGGGCAAGGAAGGTAACTCCTCACAGGAGCATCCCACCTTGGCATCAGAGTTGTAGTTTTCTTCCTTTATTGTAGCCATGGGAGGTCCAGGACCGGGACAGCTGGAAATCCTACAGAGCAAAGTATGCAGTAAAGATGGGTGGGAACAATCTGAAAAATCTTGTACAAATTCAGCCAATTGCATGTGAAATGGGACTTCTTAATCTGTGTAAATATGATGTGACCTTACTGTATCAAAGCTTTCTCTTACCTTTACTTGTCCCTTCCAATTTGGGAATTACTCAGTGAGGACTCACTCTATGTCCCATATTCACCAATTGCCTTTAATGAAGGTGGAATTAGCCAATGGCTCATGTCATTTGGACTAGAATACCTGAAATGAACCTGATCAGCTTAAATAGGAGAAACGAGGCACCATCCTCTCTCCATGTCTTTCCCTGGGTTGAAGAACACTAAGATTGAGCTCTGTAACAGATGGCAGGCATGGTTTCTCAGCTTGAAAAACAACCACTTAAATGAAGCCATTCATCCTCTTCAGTCCAAAACATTTTAAATCTTTTAAAGCTATATAACAATCAAACAAAAAATTATGGCTGTGTGGTTAGTGAAATGTCCTTCCCAAAAAGATTAGACATTCTAAGTTCCTAAATTCCAATTATTATTGAGGTCTTTAATGCACTTGGACTTGAGTTTTGTGAAGGGTGATAAATACGAATCTATTTGCATTCTTCTACATGTAACATATCCAGTTAGACCAGCAACATTTGTCGAAGACATGTTCTTTTTTTTCCACTGTGTATTTTCTGATCCTTTATCAAAAATCAGGTATCTATTGGTCTGTGCATTTAAGTATGGGTCTTCAGTTCCATTCCCTTGTCTGTTTCTATGCCAATACCATGCAGGTTTTTTTTTTTTTTAATACTATAGCTCTGTAGTACATCTTGAAATTAGGGATGGTGATACCTCCAAAAGTTCTTTCATTGTTGATGATTGTTTTAGCTATCCTTTATTTTTCCATATGAACTTGAGGATTGTTCTTTCAAGGTCTGTAAAGAATTCTGTAGGAATTGTGACAGGGATTGTGCTTGATCTGTAGATTTCTTTTGGTAGGGTGGCCATTTTTTACTATGTTGATAGATCCTACTGATCCATGAGCATGGGAGATCTTTCCATCTTTTGACACCTTCTTCAATTTCTTTCTTCAAAGACTTGAAGTTTTTATCATACACTTCTTTTGCTTAGTTGGTTAGAGATAACCCCAAGATATTTTTCCTTTTCGCTTGCATTTTTCAGGTTAATATAAACTATCAGGCACTTAAAAACTCTCAAAAGTTCCCAGACTCTCAAGGGGAAAGACTTCTGGAAAACTAGTCTCCTGTTAGTTGCACCTGGCCCTGCGAGTCTTCTAGAGATACTTCCTTCCAGTGACACCACATCCATTTCTGTGGGTCTCAATAATGACCTCCAAAATGAAGATCTCAAGCACAGGAAAGTCTCAAGTGAAGATGTGTTCAAAGCACCAAGCTAAATAGAGCTTCAACTATTCACGCAGCCGTTTTCCTAACTATCCAACAAAACCTCAGTGATTACAGTACCAGGTGATCTGCAATCACTTTGCTACCCATCATGGAGACTGAAAGATGTCCAGTCTGTTCAGCAAAGCTGGAGGGAGATACTTGTCACATCCACAGGTACACTTTGTTCCTCGACTTCTAGCCCCTGGTGCTTAACAGACTCTAAGGCACCTCGTGTAAATTGAGGTGATGTGAATAGCACCATACTCCTAGCTGCTATAGAGACGTTACCCAATGGCTCAAATTATCTTAGTGATTTTCAACAGAAATGTTGATGTTTTCCAGTTACTACAATTCAAGAAACAAGCCGTGTCTTTATCAAGACTTTCATGAATTCCAGTTTCAATGTGCCTCCCTATAAACTTTCAATATCCTGTGTCCTTAATCCCTGTCTTATTCTTATCATATTTGTCAAAAATGCCTGTATTCCAGTCTTCTCTCTGAAACCTGAATCCAACTGAACCCAGTGTCTTTTCCTCTGTGTGTGTCACCTATTGGTTAACACTATTCTTGTCCTGTGCCATCTTTATTTTATTCTTATTTTGTGCCTGTGGATTTACTGGGATCACTTCCCAGTAGTTTTATTAAAATGACCATCTACTGAATCAAATACAAGAATGAAAATTGGCCTTAATATAAGGTATATGAGTCTAAATTTTTTTCCATCCAGAAAAAGTCATATTAATACATTTTAAGTTTTACATCTGGATGAAATACAACAGTATATTTTAATTAGTACTTTGATTCCTTAAAATTCTGAAATTTCTTATGTTTTTTTAATTTTCTCTGCAGAAAATATTTAGTTGATGGAAATTTTTAAAACAGAAGCAAGGGAAAAAGGAAAACAGAAAAGTTGATTTACAGAGAAAAAGTTATTATCACCAAAAAAGAACAAGATTAGGTAGAATTAAAATGTCATTGCACTAGGTATATACAGAAGCTTAAAGAAGAACTTAAAGTTAAGACCATACTAGGCACACAAGGCTCTTTGGGATCTCCTGGCCTGGGGACTGCAGGTATGGCTACCAGCCCCAGGTGGACCAAGCCATCCAGAGTCTGCTGACATCAAGGTACTAGTCCCACCCCCACCAAAGGGGAGAGGTGGGCGTAGACCCTTGTCTCAGGACCAACTTCTGCTTGCCCTCATTGTATTCTCCTGGCCTGAAGACTGTAGGCAGGTCGATTTGCCCCCAACAGACCAAGCCATCCAGAGTCTGCTGACATAGCAGTGCTAGTCCCGCTTCCACCTATGGGGAGAATAAGTATTTCAGACTGGCCTCACCCACCTTGAATGACATTGGAGTATTGGACCTGCTTGCACCCACCAGAAGAGACCAGTACCCACCAGGAGAGGAAAAAAAACCCACCTGCACCCACTGGAAGAAGGGATGAGAAGATTAAAATATAAGAACACATTCAACAACAGAAAAATCAATATGAGACCACCGGAGTCTAGGGACTCCACACCAGCAAGACCTGAACATCCCCACACAGTTGAAGCAGAAGAAAACGACCATAAAAGCCAAGAAAGAACAACCAAACAACTGAAGGAAACAATCCAAACAGTTCAAGGCTTGAAAGCTGAAATAGAGACAAAAAAAAAAATAGAGACACAGTCTGAGAAAATGCTGGAATTAGAAAAGATGGGTAAACAATCAGGAACTACAGATGTAAGCATAATCAACAGAATACAAGAGCTGGAAGAGAGAATCTCAGGTGTTGAAGATACACTAGGAGAAATAGATTCATCGACCATAGAAAATCTTAAATCCAACAAATCCCTAACACAAAAATATCCAGGAAATATGGGACACCATGAAAAGGCCAAACTTAAGAATAATAGGTATAGAAGAATGTGAAGAACCCCACCTCAAATGTGCAGAAAACATATTCAACAAAATCATAGAAGAAAACTTTTCCAACCTAAAGAAGGACATGCCTATGAAAGTACAAGCTTACAGAACACCAAATAGACTGGACCACAAAAAAAAAGTTCCCTTGCCACATAATAATCAAAATACCAAATGTACAGAATAAAGAAAGAATATAAAAGCAGACCTATCAGAATTAAACCTGACTTCTCCATGGAAACTCTGAGAGCCAGAAGGTCTTGGATAGATATTCTACAAACACTAAGAGACCATGATGCCAACCCAGACTACTATATCCAGAAAAGCTTTCAAACACTGTAAAAGGATAAAACAAGATTTTCCATGACAAAACCAGATTTAAACAATATATATCCACTAACCCAGCCCTACAGAACATACTGGAAGGAAAACTCCAACCTGGGGAAGTTAAGTACACTCACAAAAACATAGGCAATAGATAATTCCGCTTTTCCAAAAGACAAAAGAAAGAGAGGGATAAATCCACACACAATACCAACAACAACAAATCCAAAACAAACAAGAATTAACAATCAATGGTCATTAACTTCCCTCAATATCAATGGTCTTAACTCACCTATAAAAAGACACAGGCTAACAGAATGGATACGGAGACAGAATCCATCCTTCTGTTGCATACAAGAAACACATCTCAACTTCAAAGACAGAAATTACATCAGAGTAAAGGAGAAATTTCATCAGAGTAAAGGGTTGGGAAAAATTTTCCAATCAAATGGACCCAAAAACCAACCTGGTATAGCTATCCTAATTTCTAACAAATTAAACTTCAAACTAAAACCAATCCAAAGAGATGAAGAAGGTCATTTCATATTCATCAAAGGAAAAATCCATCAGGATGAAGTCTCAATTCTGAACATCTTTGCCCCAAATACAAAGGCACCCACATTCATAAAAAGAAACATTACTAAAACTCAAATCACACATAAAACCACACACACTTATAGTGCGAGACTTCAACACCCCACTCTCACCACTAGACAGGAACACCAGACAAACTTAACAAAGAAACAAAAGAACAGAAGTTATGACCCAATTGGGTTTAACAAACATCTATGGAACATTTCATCCAAACAAAAAAGAATATACCTTCTTCTCAGCACCACAAAGAACCTTCTCTAAAATCAACCACAGACTTGGCAACATAGCAAACCTCAACAGATACAAAAAAAAAAAAAAAATGGAATAACACCCTGTATCTTATCAAATCACCATGGTTTAAAGTTAGAATTCAACAACACAAATAGCAGAAATCCTACAAACTCATGGAAATTGAACAATGCACAATTGCACAATTCCTAGGTCAAGAAAGAAAACAAAGACTTCCTAGAATTCAATGAAAATGAAGATACAACATACCAAAACTTATGGGTCACTTTGAAAGCAGTGCTAAGAAGAAAATTCATAGTACTAAATACCCACATGAAGAAACTGGAGAATAGTCACACTAGAGAATTGACAGAACAACTGAAAGTTCTAGAACAAAAAAGAAGAAAATTCACCCTGGAGGATGCCAGGAAATAATCAAATTGAGGGCTGAAATCAATAAAGTGGAAACAAAGAAAACTATACAAAGAATCAATGAAAACAAACAGTTGGTTCTTTGAGAAAATCAGTTAGACAGACAAACCTTTATCCAAACTAACCAAAAAGCAGAGAGAGAACATGCAAATTAATAAAATCAGAAATGAAAAGGGGGACATAACAACAGACACAAAGGAAATCCAGAGAATCATCAGGTCATACTTTGAAAAACTGTACTTGACAAAATTCAAAAATCTAAAGGAAATGGATAATTCTGGATAGATATCACTTACCAAAATTAAATCAAGAACAGATAAGCAATTTAAATAGACCTATAACCCCTAATGAAATAGAAGCAATAATCAAAAGTCTCCCAACCAAAAAAAAAAAAAGCCCAGGGCCAGATGGTTTCAGTGCAGAATTCTACCAGAAATTCAAATACAATACTTCTCAAAGTGTTCCACACAATAGAAACAGAAGGTTCATTGACAAACTTTTTTTGTTTTTAACGAGGCTATGATTACCTTGATACCCAAGCCACACAAAAACACAACTAAGAAAGGGAACTAAAGACCAATGTCCCTCATGAACATTGATGCAAAAATACTCAATAAAATACCGGCAAATTGAATCCAAGAACACATCAGAAAAATCATCCACCATGATCAAGTAGGCTTCATTCCAGGGATGCAAGTATGGTTCTACACATGAAAATCCATCAATGAAATCCACCATTTAAACAAACTGAAAAAGAAGAACCACATGATCATCTCACTAGATGCTGAAAAGGCCTTTGACAAAACCCAACACCCCTTCATGATAAGGGTCTTGGAGAGATCAGGAATAATAATAGGAACACACGTTAACAAAATAAAAGCAATATACAGCAAACCAACAGCCAACATCAAACTAAATGGAGAGAAACTAAAATCAGGAGAAAGACAAGGCTGTTCACTCTCTCCATATCTGTTCAATATTGTCCTTGAAGTACTAGCTAGAGCAATAATAGCACAAAAGGAGATCAATGGGATACAAATTGGAAAGGAAGAAATCTAACTTTCACTATTTGCAAATGATATGATAGTTTACTTAAGTGATCAGAAAAATTCTACCAAGGAACTCCTACAGATGATAAACACCTTTAGTAAAGTGGCAGGATACAAGATTAACTCAAAAAATTAGTAGTCCTACTATATATAGATGATAAATAGGCTAGGAAAGAAATCAGAGAGCATCCCTCTATGTGGAGTGGGCTCATAAAGTCCATTCTTGTACTAGGGATAAATACTGATCCACTATCAGAGGCTCTATAGATTGCCAGACCTCCAAACTGACATCCTCATTCAGGGGATCTGGTAGTCCTATGCTGGTTCCCCAGCTATCAATCTGGGGTTCATGAGCTCCCCCTACTTTAGGGGAGCTGTTTCTGTGGGTTTCTACAGCTTCGTCTTGATCCCTTTGCTCATCACCCATTACAATAGCCACAAACAACATAAAATATGTCAGGGTAACTCTAACCAAACAAGTGAAAGACCTGTATAACAACAACTTTGAGTCTTTAAGAAAGAAATTAAAGAAGATACCAGAAAAATGAAAATATGTCCCATGCTCTTGGATAGGTAGGATCAACATAGTAAAAATGGTAATCTTGCCAAAAGTAATCTACAGATTCAATGCAATCCCCATCAAAATCCCAGAACAGTTCTTCAAAGATCTTGAAAAAACAATACTCAACTTTATATGGAAAAAACAAAAGACACAGGATAGCCAAAACGACCCTGTATAATAAAGTAACTTCCAAAGGCATCAACATCACTGACTTCAAGCTCTATTATAGAGCTATAGTACTGAAAACATCTTACACCGATCAGAATGGCTAAAATCAAAAACACCAATTGCGGCTTATGCTGGAGAGGATGTGGAAAAAGGGAAACAGTCCTCCAATGCTGGTGAGAGTGCAAACTTGTACAGCCACTTTGGAAATCAGTATGGAGGTTCCTCAGGAAAATGGGAATCAGTATACTTCAAGATCCAGCAATTTCACTCTTAGTCAAATACCCAAAAAATGCACATTCATACAACAAAGACATCTGTTCAACGATGTTAATAGCAGCATTATTTGCAATAGCCAGAACCTGGAAGCAACCTAGATGCCCCTCAACTGAAGAATGGATAAAGAAAATGTAGTACATCTACACAATGGAGTACTACTCAGCAGGAAAAACAAAAACAATGTAATCTTGAAATTCACAGGCAAAAGAATGGAACTAGAAGAAACCATCCTGAGTGAGGTAACCCAGTCACTAAAAGCCCAACATGGTATGTACTCACTCATCATATATGGATATTAGACATCGAGAAAAGGATTACCAGCCTACAATCCACACTATCAGAGAATCTAGGAAACAAGGAGGACCCTAAGAAAGACTTGCATGGTCCCCAGAAAAGGTGAAAAGGACAAGATCTCCTGAGCAAATGGGAGCATGAGAGAGAGGAGAGGGAGTTAGAAGAAAGAGATGGGGAGAAGGGGGGGATAGGAGGACATAAGAGAGCAGAAATATTGAGTTGGGGGAAGAATAGAGGAGAGCAAGAGAAGAGATACCATAATAGAGGGAACCATTATAGGTTTAAAGAGAAATCTGGCATGAGGGAAAATATCCAGAGATCTACAAGGATGACCCAAAGGATGACCCTAACTATGAATCTAAGCGATAGTGGAGAGGCTACCTGAAATGCCCTTCCCCTATGAGATTGATGACTACCCTATATGCCTTCATCCTAGATGAAGGATGAGTATCCTAGAGCCTTCATCCAGTAGCTGATGGAAGCAGAAGCAGATACCCACAGCTAAGCACTGAGCCAAACTCCTGGAATCCAGATGCAGAGAGTGAGGAGTGATGAGCAAAGGGGTCAAGACCAGGCTGGAGAAACCCACAGAAACACTGACCTGAACAAGGGGGAGCTCATGGACCCCAGACTAATATCTGGGAAACCAGCATAGGTCCAACACAGGCCCCCTGAAAGTGGGTATCAGTTAGGACGCCTGGGCAGTCTATGGGGGCCTCTGGTAATGGAACAGTATTTATCCCCTAGTGTACGAATGGACTTTGGGAACCCATTCCACATACAGGGATGCTCTCTCAGCCTAGACACATAGGGGAGGGCCTAGGCCGTGCTCCAAATGATATGACAGACTTTGAAAAAAAATCCCCCAAGGAAGGCCTCACCCTCCCTAGGGAGCAGAAAGGGGATGAGAAAGGGGGTCAGTGGGGTACAGGGGAGAATGGGAGGGAGAGAAAACTGGAATTGATATGTAAAACCAGATTGTTTCCAATTTAAATAAAATTTTAAAATGAAAAAGAAGCTTAAAGGAGAAAACAAAAATGAAAAATCAATAGGTAGGGATATTAATTTCCAATTATCCTCTAAAATGTATTAAATATAATTTGTATCACATGCTCTGCATATAGATATATATTCTTGATTCCCATAAAAGAAAATCCTCTCCTGGCTTTTTCCTGTTGTCAAAAGTACATGTAAATAAGGTGGGCCAGACAACTCTCATTACTCAAGACAGAGTACTAGCTGGCACTGCGATTATCAAAATTCTAGATAAACTGGTGATGTATATCTGCACTTCTCAAGAAAACACTAAAGGAGTTCGTATATAAATTTGACTTTTGATATTGATCTGACATAGACCTTATCTAGATTTCAGGGCTACACAGGTCCTTGCCATCCTGTGGACGAGCAAGAGAATGAATGGGGGAGTCAAGCAAGATGACAGTCAAATCATGGATGTGGGGCTCTCAGCTACAGCTGATATAACTGCATATACTTTGAATGTCTATTGTGAGAATTATAATAAACAACATCATTTTAAATATAAAGCATGGTGCCCCCAGAGTAGAATGCCAAACAAATATTGGTTTCTCATCTGCCCATTCCAATATTTAGATAACATACAGATTTTATCTACAAGTAAAACTTACCCAGCTAATGAGTCATTCCCAGAATCCATTTGTTCTTCTAAAGAAAAATATAAAACGCATTTTTAAAAGATGGAAGAAAAGTATCAAATATTACAGATCTGTGACTCAAAAGCATTGCTAGAAAACATTCATTTGGAAACACATCATGGGAATCTTCTACAGTAGATATGAATTATAGTGCTGCTGGAGCAGTTGATGCATTAAGACCATCTCTGTTGTTTGTATTTATGGGACATGAGGAGGAAGGAAAAATATGTATGAAATTTATGAAAAGTACAATGCTGTGTACAATGACCATAATCCCAATGAACTACTAGGAGACTAACTTAAGATGTTGTCATCATTTTATAAACTGATAGTGTCAAGCAAGCTGCCTGATATACCTGGACTAACAGCATTAGGAAGACGAATAAGGGAATGTAGTCTATGGCCATACCACCCTGAATACTCCTAATCTTATCTATTAAGAGAATGTGTTTATTTTGTTGTAAGAGAATAGAGATTTTCCAAGTAATCAGTTGAATTTTTCAGTTTAGGATGAATATACTATCGCAGTGACACTTATCTATGGACACTGCATCCTGCAGGGGACAGGTTGAAAACACAAAGGCAGACTAGGTACCAGAGCCCAACAAAGACTTCTCACGTCCTAATGAAGAGTTCAAAAATTGCCTGTGTGCTGCTTGTTCTAGCTAATCCTTTTTTTCCCACTCTCTTCTTTATTTATCTTTTTTGTCTTCCACATCACACATCTCTATATGATTCATGTACATGGTGCATGCCCATGGCATGTTTCCACAAACATAAAAATTATATATATATTGTATGAAGGACTCTGAGGTGAGAGCACCCTAAGAGGCACCAAGTTCCTCACTGCTGTCCTCCTCTGTGGCCACATTCCTAGCAGGCAGTGGATCAGGAAGTAAAGGCAGCCTGGATCCTTCACTTGGAAGTGGAGGCTGAGAACCACTAGTGGCTGACAGCACAAAAGTGATACAGGCCCAGAGGGCAGGGTTCAGGTTTTTGAGGCCATCAAGGCAACAACCACTTCCAAGTTCTCCAAGCATAAATACGTTGCAGACCAACAAGGCCATATCAACATCTGGAAGAAATGGTCCTAAACCTGAAGTCCTTTACATTTATGAATTCCAGACTGCTCTGTCCTTACCTGGTCCCGGAGCTGAAAAAAATATAATTTATGTTTCAGTGTGACATCTTTGACAAGAGTCTTAGTCAAACAAACATGATTAATAAATATATATGATTTGTTTCACATGAAAAGTCTTTGTCATCATAACCTGATGATAAGGAAAAGAAGCTGGAGGTAACCTAATTATATAGCACTTACCTAAAATGCAGGAAGTCTTGGTTTCAATTCCTAGTTCCACAGAGATGTAGATATTGATTACTTTTGTTTTCTCCTCTCTCTCTCTCTCTCTCTCTCTCTCTCTCTCTCTCTCTCTCTCTCTCTCTCTCTCTCTCTCTCTCTCTCTCTCTCTCTCTCTCTCTCTCTCTCTCTCTGTGTGTGTGTGTGTGTGTGTGTGTGTGTGTCTGTCTGTCTGTCTGTCTTGTCTTTTTTTCTGCCTCTTCCTGCCTCTCTCTTTCTCTCTGTCTGCCTGCCTCTGTGTGTGTGCCTCTCTCTCTCTCTCTCTCTCTCTCTCTCTCTCTCTCTCTGCCTCTTCTTGTACCACACATATTAATTATTGGATTTGGGGGTTGTCTGTGTACATATGTGCACATGCAAGTGGAGTCCAGAGGTCAATATTAATAGTCTCCCTCAATGACTCAGCATGTGAATTTTTGAGACAAGGTCACAATTCTGATTCTAAGTTTCATGTAATTAATATCTGAGATCATTCTGATCTGTATACTATTCAGAAAAAACTTAAGTAAATATAAATGCAATTTTCCACTCTTTTTAAATGAAAACTTTCTTAGTTCAACATTTTTTGTGTGTGGTAGGACTGCAAAGAGCATTGTAAGTCTTACCTTGTTCACTATCGTTTTTGTTATTATGTACGTTTTCTTCAAAATCCAGAAGAATCTGTCTACTATCATTTGAAAAATAATAAACACAATTATTATTTTAATATTTACTTTAAAGCATTTTAGCATACTTAATTCTTAAGAATACTCCAGAGGTTAGAGGTATAGCTCCACTGGCAGAGTGTTTGCCTAGCATGCACTAAGCCTTGTCATCTCTAGTCTCACATCTAAACCAGACATAGTGGCACACACCTGTAATCACAGCATTTGGGAGGTAGAGGCAGAAAGAGCAATTGGTTCAAAGTCATCCTCAGACACATAGCTAACTCAAGGCCATATGGGGAACATTAGACCCTGCCTCTAAATAGAGATTATCACTAGGCACTACTAAAAGTTTTTACTACACGTTTGAAATTTATGGGCTCTAAATCTTGTAGCTAAGCCTATAAGAAAAGAAAAATTGAAGTAAAAGGGGGAATGAAATGAGAGAAATAAAGCTTAAGGAGTAGACTGGATTAGCTAGACAAGCAGTGAAGTACCCTGATATCAGAAGACATCCTTGCTCCGAAACTACAGCTGTCAGCTACTGCACAAGTCATTTTCCACAGGCATTAAGTCTCATTCAAAATAAATAATAAATAAATAAATAAATAAATAAATAAAATAAGGATTTGTACTGCTTGTGTTCAGTAGGTTTCTTTTAAGATTTTATTTCATAGTATTAAAAAAAACACATTCAGGGAAGTAACAAATCAACAAGGTATTTCCTGATACTGAGCTCTTTTTAAACTCCAAATGTGTCTAAAATTCAAATGTTGCAACTGTTTGGAAAGTGTTAGGCCCTCATTTTGGTTATTAGCTATTCTATTCTGTGGCTTGTGATTCACAGAAAATGAGTTGCTTAACAATTTGAAGCTAAGTACTTCATGATATATTCCCTCCTTAATTAAATGACTGCTTGCTGTTACTAAAAAATAATCAGTCACTCTGAGGGCAGAGGGAATCCATTCCAAGACATGGCTTTACTCTCCTCTTCATCCTCCCCTGCCTATTTTAAATCATTATATGTACCTCCAAATGACTCATAAACAAAACCCTCTATTACATGTAGATACTAATAAAATCTGACGTGATCTTGTGCTCCTAAGTCCAACTGTTCTTTGGATCCAGAGACATGCTTAGTTGCTTCTTTGTAGGGTAGAACTCAAAAATCTCTGTAAACATGAGACTAGGACTGAAACAATTGGGAAATTGTTACTACTGTAGACAAAAGGACAGAAAATTAGTTGAGTACTTGCCCAGGAAAAGGTGGACAGCAACCCTAGACAGGTTGATGTGGGGCATTCTAGCACCTAGAAAAAGGTACACAGAGGATATGATGGGGCCTTTGGCTCAGCATATGATGGGGTCTGGTATTAAACAATAAACTGTGATTTTTTTTTTGCAGCTTGATTTGAACTTTTATACAGTTCATATTTGTAAGCAAAAAAGACACACAAATTTCTCAATGTGAATTGACCACAAAGGTCTGAGCTAACATGTGGATTCTATATGAGATTATGGGCAGGTGGGAAGGGTCAGATTGCTAACGATGTATGTGGCAGAAGCTAAAGAGTCCCATTGCCAGAGGATAGTGTGGTTTGAGAATTATAGCTGAGTCTAAACATGTAAGTCCATGTGAACTTGAGATACTGTAACTTTCGGTTCTGAGTATATATTATTATAAAGCCTTTCAAGTCTGGCTCATCATGGTAGTTAAGATCAATTGCTATGGAATTTCAGGGCATATTTTATAATGATGGAACCAACAGAATTAAGGACTGATAGGCTATCCTCTTCCTTCTTCTCCATCTGTATTTTCTAAGAGAATTGGCTTGCTTGGATCTAAGAACCTCTTCAGCGACAGGAAAGTCAAGGAGGAGGGAACAGAAGACAATCTCCCACAGGAAAGATGTCTACTAAACTAGGCATTTAAAGATCCAAGAAGCTGGCCCTGGGATCTGCAGGCAGACAGAATCGGTCCCTGAGGACCCTGGGATCCTGTCTCTGCTGAGATCGCTGAGCCATTCCAGGCCCCCACAGAGTGCAGAGAGTCCAGAGGTGAGCTGATTCAGCCCCTTACTTGGGCCCAACTTCCATCTGCCCACCCTGGAAAACCCTGCCCAGGAATCTTCGACAGGACGACTCGACCCCTGAGGACCAGGTAACCCAGAGTCTGCTGACATCTCTGCTCAAGTGCTGCTCTCACCCACCTGGAGAGCGAGTACCTCCGACCTGCCTGCACCCAACTTGAAACCCATCAGAGTATCAAAGTCAATTGCACACACCTGAAGAGAACAACGGACCCATACACACCAGGAAAGGAAGCAACACCAATTGTACCCACTGGAACAAGAGATGGGAAGATGACAATATAAGAACACATCCAACAACAGGAAAACTAATATGACACCACCAGAGCCTAGGGACTCTACACCAGCAAGACATGAACATCCCAACACAGAAGAAGCAGAAGAGAGCAACCTTCAAAACAACTTCATGGAAATGATAGAGAATCTAAGAGAGGAAATCAGAAAATCCTTCAGAGAAATGGAAGAAAAGACAAACCAAAAGATGCAAGAAATCAAGGAAAGCCAAAAAAGCCAAGCAAATACAATTAAACAGCTGAAGGAAACAGTTCAGGACCTGAAAACTGAATTAGAGACAATAAAGAAAACACAAACTGAGGGAATGCTAGAAGTGGAAAAGCTTAGTAAACAATCAGGAACCACAGATGCAAGCATAACCAATAGAATACAAGAGATGGAAAACAGAATCTCAGACGCTGAAGACAAACTAGAGGAAATAAACTAGTCAAGCAAAGAAAATCTGAAGTCTAACAAAACCATAACACAAAATATTCAGGAAATTTGGGACACCGTGAAAAGACAAACCTAAGGATAATAGGTATAGAAGAAGGTGAAGAAACCCAACTCAAAGGTGCAGAAAACATATTCAACAAAATCATAGAAGAAAACTTTCCCAACCTAAAGAAAGACATGCCAATGAAAGTACAAGAAGCCTACAGAATGCCAAATAGAGTGGACCACAAAAGAAAGTCCCCTCGTCACATAATAACAGGCTAACAGATTGGATACAAAGACAGAATCCATCCTTCTGCTGCATACAAGAAAGACACCTCCAATTCGAAGACAGACATTACCTCAGAGTAAAGGGTTGGGATAAGATACTCCAATCAAATAGACCCAAGAAACAAGCTGATGTAGCTATCCTGTATGTAACAATTTAGGCTTCAAATTAGATTAAAATCAATCAGAAGAGATGAAGGAAGAAACGAGTTGGGGCAGCTATCCTTGTATCTAACAAGATAAACTTCAAACTAAAATCA